GAGAGAGAGAGAGTGAGAGAGAGAGAGAGAGAGAGAGAGAGAGAGAGAGAGAGAGAGACACACACACACACACACACACACACACACACACACACACACACACACACACACACACACACACAGCAAACACACACACACACACCGACGCACCCGCCTCCAACACAAGGACGCGCACACACACATACGCACACATGCACACGCAGAGGGTCCGCGTACCGAGCTGGCTCGGCGCGCCCACGAATGTCAAAGTAGACGAGGCGATACTTGGGTTTAGAGCCATCCGTAGGCATGGGTGACTCGCCTCCGCAGCACGCAGACATGTTGCATTCGCCCTCCTTAGACTGCGACATGGCGCCAAGACAACAAGGGTGTTGTTGCTAGGTCGGTGATGCGTTCCTCAGGCTGTCGTGGTTCACGCACGCACGGGTCCAGTGTTCAAGCGCTCAATCAAGAGGCAGTGCCTGCTACTCACGAGCACAGAGAGAAGGAGGGTCCAAGACAACAAGCATGCACACACGACGAGTGCGAGGGGAAAATGAGTGAGCAAGGTGGACTGACGAAACAAACAAGCAGCAGGAGATGACGAGGAAGGCTGTGAAAACTTGGGAGATGCGCGCACGCAGTTGCTGAGTTGGTTGGTTGCTACCTTCGTTGCTGGTGCTTTGCTTCTTGCTTGCTTGTTGTTGGAGGAATGAAGCGGCAGCTGGTTGCGGCAACGTGGAATGATGAGACGAGAATGACAGATGTTGTGGGTGGTGGTGGTGGTGGTGTTGTGTGTTTCGTTGTTTCTGTGCTTGCTTGCTTGCTTGACGTCCGTGTGTGGGTGTGTGTGTGGGTGTGGTGGCTCTTCCTCTCGATTGTGTGCGTGTGCGTGTGCGTTCTTGGTCGTTGTCCTCGCCCTGCTGCTGCTTTGCTTGTTCGTTTCGTTGCTTCCCTCTTTGCGTTGTCTTCCCGTCATAATGACGACGCAGACACAAAGGCAAATTTGCCTTTGGGGCAGCAGCGTTGGCGGAACCGTTTTGGGCACACACTCGCGAAAGCAAATTTTGCCTTTTTCACAGGCGACACAGCGACATACAGAAAGATGGTGAATATGGCTGCGAGACGAGCGGCGACTGTTGCTGCACTGTTGGTGGTGGTGGTGGTGGCGGGGTGTGTTGGTGGTGTGGCTGCATCCACAGAGCAGTCCTTGACCTTGTTGTTGGACGCGGGAGAGAACCAGTGCATCTACGAAGATGTCGCCGAGCACATGAACATTCGCATGGAATTTCAGGTGTGTGCTGTGGGCAGTGTGGGCAGTGTGTGTTTGTGTGTGTGTGTGTGTGATGTCGTGGTGCATGCCTGCTGTAGGTATCAGTGTGGTGTCGTTCACGCTGATGTGACGTGTAAAATAGTACTCTCTGAATCGCACACACGCACACGCACACATTCGCATGCACACACACACACACATTCGCATACTCACACTCGCATACTCACACTCACACACACACGCTCGCATGCACACACATATGCGCACAACTCAGGTGATTGCGGGCGCCAATCTGGATGTGGATTACACGGTTGTGTCGCCATCCGGGCATGTGCGGGATCAAGGAAAGCGACTCACCCACTCCATGTTCAAAGGCCCCAACGCAGAGCCAGGCACATGGAAGGTGAGCTGCACGGGTAACATCGTAACATCGCATGTTCTCCCACTCGCTGTCTTGATTCCTTGACGTGTCGTCTTGATTCGTTCACTTGTTGTCTCGATGCGTCCCCTCGTTCACTGATTCATTCACGCGTTTACCACCACCACCAATCGATTTGATGCGCTTGCCTTGCCTCCTGATCATTTCCCACTGTGTGACAGTTTTGCTTCAGCAACCGCTTCAGCGTCTTGCATGAGAAGGCCGTGCACTTTTCACTCATCCTCGACGAGTGAGTTGCGCACCATTTCCTGTCTGTTGGTTTGCTTGGTTTGCTTGGTTGCTTGGTTGCTGGGTTGCTTGGTTGCTTGGTTGCTTGGTTGTGTCACGAGCTGCAATGCATAGTGCTCACATCTCCACCACCACCACGCGCATCACATTCACGATCGACGACAGCGGAGATCCGGTCGAGTCATGGGAGAGCCAGCTGCCAGTCAGCCCGGCTGGGGAGACTGTTGAAAGTATCACAAAGGTTGGTGTGTGGATGTGCGTGTGGGTGTGAATGTGAGTGTACGTGCGTGTGTAAGTGCGTGCGCGTGCGTGTGGAGCTGGGAATCGCAATGATTTCCGTGGTATGTGCGTCTGCTTTGACATGGCTGCACTCATCATTGTGTCGTGGTCCTGGCGGGGATTCTCTTTGCTTTTTGGTGACCTCAGTATGCCATGCGCCTGCGCGTGCACTTCAAGCAAATCATCCGCGACCAAACCCACCTGTGGGCACGCGAGGTATTGCATGCGACACTGTGTGTGCATGAGTGAGTGTGAATGTGAATGTGAATGCGAGTGTGAATGTGAGTGTGAATGTAAATGTGAATGTGAGTGTGAATGTGAATGTAAATGTGAATGTGAATGTGAATGTGAATGTAAGTGTGAATGTGAATGTGAATGTAAATGTGAGTGTGTGTGTGTGTCCTTTGTGCAACCGGTGACGCCCGCGATCATGATCATCACGCCTTGCTGCCATTGTTATCACAGGCCCGCCATCGACAAACGGCCCAGTTCAACAACGAGAGAATCGGGGTATGTACGATCATATATGTGTGGTGTGTGTGTGCTCTTTCTCGTGCGCCCACTCATCTGCTCTTGTGTGCTCTCACGCGCGCGTGTGTGTGCGTTCAACACTGCAGGTTGTATCTGCCGTTGAGATTGCCATCATCATCAGCATCGGCCTGATCCAGGTTTGCTGCTCGTTGTGCCATGAGGGAGATGGGGGCACGCACTCACACACACACACACACACACACACACACACACACACACACACACACACACACACACACACACACACACACACACACACACACACACACACACACACACACACACTCTCTCTCTCTCTCTCTCTCTCTCTCTCTCTCTCTCTCTCTCTCTCTCTCTCTTTGTCTTTATCCTCCACACACACATGCATACACACTCACTCACTCACACACTCACACACACACACACACACACACACACACACTCTCTCTCTCTCTCTCTCTTTGTCGTTGTCCTTCACACACGCACTCACTCATTTACTCACTCACTCACTCACGCACACACTCACACATACATGCACACACTCACACATGCACACACGCGCACAAAGGTGTATGTTGTTCGCTCGTTCTTCAAGACGCCGTCTACCAAGGCCGCCGCCAAGTCATAGCATGCAACTTGCCCGTGTGCGCCTGCGTATGTATGGAACGTTCCTATCGTATCGAGCAGGCAACAAAGGAAGATGAACAAGAAGAACGACAACAAGAGCAACAAGAACAAGAAGAACAAGGAGTGAGTGCAAGTGACATCTCTGCTCATTCATTTCAAACACACAACAAGCGCAACAGCTTCCTCTTCGTAACCGCCACACAAACAAACAAACAAACTAACAAGCAGACAAAACACCAGCCACCAACGAACCAGCCAGCCATGTGCAGTGGTGACCGCCGTGCTTGGGGTGTGCGATGGCGACGGCTGCACGCCGCGCTGTGCGCTGCCGAGGTGGACGCTGCCGTGTTCATCTTGGGCATTGACAGCAGGCACTCCAGCGCGTGCCTCAGCTTCGCCTGCTACCTCCTGCCCTCCTTGCAGCACACCCTGCGCAACACAGACGTGCTCGACGACTGCGTGTTCATCGTCCACACCACACCACACCTCCAGCTGCACGTCATTGCACCGCCAAGCGCCTCTTCCACCATCCTGGCCCACTGCCAACACCTGCCAGGCTTCCAGCTGCACGCGTGCGCTGCCCGCGGGCTTCCTCTGGCCCAAGCCTCCTCTTCGCCTGCGCAGCAGCAACAACCCAAGCGCAACGCGCCCGATGAAGACGACACCGATGACGAGGAGGCAATCGAGCTCTTCAAGATCCTGTCGTTCGTGTCACTGCTGCGAGACAAGCCACGCGTGGCAGTGCCGCTCGGAGGCAAGCCATGCGATGTCTTGGAGGGCTGGCCGCTGGTGCAGGCCTCTGCGGCCGAGGACTTTGGTGCCGGCGGGTTCTTCACCCTCACCCACGACGTGATGGACCTCAGCACTGCCCTGCCACCGCTGCAAGCCGCATGCGATGCAGACGCATGCCGCTCTGTCATTGCATCGGCGCTGCCAGCGTTCACGGCAGCGTGGAGCGCCGTTCACTCCGCCCTCGCCCGTGCGGCACCCGCCTCATCCTCACCAGCACCAACGCGAGCAGGGCAACAGGACGCCATCGATATGACCGATGTACGCGCGGCGTTCCGCCACCACGTGCAGCAGGCTGGCAGTGCTCACTACACGGGCACAGACAGCACAAGCAGCGACTGCTTCCGGTGCACGACAACACCTGTGTCGCCGTCATTGCCAGCAGTGGCAACTGCAGTCTGTATGGATGGTTGGCTCCCTGGCACGCCGCTTCGTTGCAAGCGCACGTGGCTGCTGGATGCCTCCTCCCTCTCTCCCGAGGCTCGCGACGCCACCACCTCCGCAACCACAGCGCTGGCCGCGTGTGTGCTGCGCAACACGGCCCACATCTTCCACCAACACGCCAGCACAATCGCTGAACTCGCTGTGCACGCGCACACGCAGAACAGCGGCGCCGCAACTCGTGATGTGGATGAGACAGAGGCCATCTCACACGTGCTCATGTCAGCGCTTCAGCAGTGCTTTCCTCCTTCCACCACCATCATCTCCCCATTGCAGGTCACTATCACACGCCTGTCTGCACGCGGCGAAGTCAGGCCCTCGCATCCGTCACCCTCACCGTCGTCATCAGCAACAGCAGAGCGGTCGTGGGCTGCCGATGCGCTGACGCCAAACGAGACTGCGCTCTACGTGGAGGTGACGCTTCCACGTGTTGAAATGAAGCGTGACAGCACGCCCGTGCCCTCCAGCAACGAGGACACTGGACAGACCTTGGAGGCGCGTGAGGGGTATGAGGTTGTGCTGCATAACCTGGTCATGGGTGACACGCTCCTTGTTGGTCACTGCACCACAGCATCGTCACCAGCAGCAGAGGCACATCCGTCACCTCCGTCATCGTCGTCACCATCATCGTCATTGTCGTCGACGGCTTGTTCGTCGCCACGCACATCACATGTCCGCGCACATGTATTGACAAGCGTAGTCCCGTCATGCCATGTCCACATCGCAAACACGCGCACGGCATCAGCGTCCACCGCGGCTGCCACCACCACCACACGCAAGGCCGACCCAGCCACAGCACGTGCATCAGCGCCAGCAGCAGCAGCAGCGGAGGGGCGTGAGAGGCCGCAATCATCGCGCCAGCGGGGTGGTGTGCTGCGTATTGGTGGTTTCTCGCTCGCATTTCCCGGCGAACCATCACCATCATCCTCATCATCATCATCATCATCAGCAGCAGCAGCAACACCTACGAAGGCTGCCGCAAGCCGCACCAAGGGCGGCAACAGCAACGGCACCCACGACAACAGCAACCACAGCAACACGACCGCCACTGAGAGCGGTAGTGAGGGTGGTGCGAGGCGGAATCGTGTTGGCACGCCGTCTGCCGCGTCCATCGCCCGCCGCCGCCACCGCCCGCTCTCAGCACGACGCCCACCAGCATCGCACCACGACACACACCACGACACACACCAGGATGCACACCACGGTGCAGCACCAGCAGAAACAACAGCGGCAAGGGAAGCAGCAGTCTCGTCAGCGGCGTCTGCGGGTGAAGCGAGCACACCAGCGCGCGAGAAAGCAAGCGGAGGCAGTCAAGTGTTGGCGGAGAAGGCCACTGCACACCTGCTGTTGCCAGACGGCCAGCAGCTGTCAACTGTGACAGCGGCGTTCATGTCCGCCAAGTTTGAATTGTGCGTGGATGGATCGCGGCTGCCGCCTGCACGCGCCCGTGTGTTGGGCGCCTGGTGCGCGAAGCTGGACACGACATTTGTCGCTGTATTTCGCGTATCGCTTGCGTCCACTGCACAGTGGCTGCGCGGGTGTGCATGGGTGGTCGATGGGGTGGAGGGAAGCGAGAGGCGTAGTGCTGGTGGAGACGTGAATGCAGGTGATGGTGATGATGGTGGTGATGGTGGTGATGGTGATGATAGCAGGCAGCCAGAGGGTTGTTGGATTGTACTCACCAGCGAACTCAACTCGCAACTGCACCACGCCATTTCCCGCTCGGTAAGCGCGCGCGCGTGGGTGCTCGTGTATGTGTGTGTATGTATATGTGTGTGATTGTGTGTGATTGTGTATGTATGTGTGTATGTGTGTGTGTGTGTCATCATGTCTACATGTGTGTCATCATGTCTACATGTGTATGCATGCTCATGCTTACATGTGGATGCATGTATGCGAGTGTGCATACTTGCACAAGTTGTGTGTGATTGTGTGTGATTGTGTATGTATGTGTGTATGTGTGTGTGTGTGTCATCATGTCTACATGTGTGTCATCATGTCTACATGTGTATGCATGCTCATGCTTACATGTGGATGCATGTATGCGAGTGTGCATACTTGCACAAGTTGAATCAGGTACATGGTTGTGTGTGTGTGCATTTTGCTTGCCACATGGCCGTCACATGTCCACAACTATCTTGCTGCTGTCGTCGTTCTTGTTGGAGCACAGGTGTTTCCCACGTGGAAGGCAGACATCAAGGCTCAGGTGCGTTCCGTCAGGGGCAGGTGTTGAAACGCACGTGGAGAGTTGCGCCATAGACTGTGCTCTACTGTGCTGTGGAGACTGCACCAATTCGCTAATGGCAAACTGCTGAAGCTGTTGGCAACACTGTCCCACCACAAGTGGTCACACGGCCTCGCAATTTGTTTTTTGGTTGCATCTCATGTATCCTCTACTCACACACGCACACACACACACACACAAACACACTCACACATGCAATCTCACACACACACACACACACGCACACGCACACAATCACAATTACACACAATCACACACCACGTGCAGACGCTTGAGAAGCCGCCCGCGTGTGTGGTAGCAGCGGTGGCGGTAGCAGCACTCGTTCGATCGAACACGCTTCCATCGCCTTTCCTCGCATGGAAGGACGTGTGTGATGGTCTCCGTGCCCACCCGGCACTTCAGCTGGAGGAGGTGCAGGCGCAGTTTGTGTGTATGTGTGTGCGTGTGTGTGTGTGTGAGTGTGTGTGTGTGTGCGTGTGTGTGTGTGTGTGTGGCATGGTGGCCAAGCCACTGGGCTTGTGTGGCATTGCGAACAAGCTCATCCCATGTTCGTGCGTGAAAATATGCTGTGTTGGCCCTCCTCACCATAAATGCTCACCACCACAACCGCAATCACCACCGCCCCAACCGTCACTGCGGATACCTCAGTTGGTTGCGCTGTGCACTGCGCACAACATCTATGCGCCTCCGTCTCATTCCCAGCGCCATGAAGGACCCAAGCGGCGCCACGCACCGCAGGTTGTGGTTGACGTTGCGGTCGTGATTACATCACCGACTGTGCAGCCGGCGCGTGTGTGTGAACTGCTTGGCGCTGTTGCGGGGATGGCCCCAGGCGTCATTGTTGAGGAGTAAGTTACCTGTTCTGTCGTTTGATGCTGTTGCGGGGTCGGGGCGGCGTGTTCATTGGAGTTTGTGCATATTGAGTGAAGATACACGGACATGTAAGCACGCACGCACGTGCAAGGGCACAAGCGCACATACTCTCTCTCACACACTCACTCACTCACACGCACACACACACACACACTCTCTCTCTCTCTCACTCACTCACTCTCTCACACACACTTTCACAACCACCCACCCACACACTCACTCTCTCACACACACAACAACAATGTGCACTTCCACGCGCACAACACGACCGCGCGTATCAGCTGCAGCAACCGCGCCACGGATGTGTCGTCCCTTCGTCGTATCGGACAAGCCCTCGTGGCCCACGTCCATGCACACCTTCAGGCCGTGCGTGAAACTAGTGCTGGTGACAGTGGTGAAAACAGCGATGGTGGTAGTGGTGGTAACAGCCAGGGCAGCAACAGTAAGCGTGGTGGTGCCGGCGTGCTGGGGGCGCAGGCCGTGCTGGCTGTGCAAGGGAGCATGACGGCGCGTGACATCGTGACGGAGCTGCAGTGCTCATCATCATCGATTGTGCGTGTGAACGTGGCCGCTGTTGCTGTTGTGCTGACCTCGATTGATGTGTGGCGGGCGCCGTTGGAGTGCCACGTCTCTCCTCCGCTCTCAACGCATCTTCGCCCTGGCGTGTGCACCCACTGCTTTGTCACACCCGCGCCCCGGACCCTGAACACACAGCCACCAGCACACTCTCAACAACAGCAGAAGCATGGTGTTGTGAGTGTAGGGGATGCCATGTCGCTGGTACGGATGATAAACGCGTCTGCGTTCGTGTGCCACCTGAACAGCGCCGCTGCCGTGGACGAGCTCCTGGTGAGCAGGACAGCAGTGGTGGAGGTGGTGGTGGTGGATGGTGCTTGTGGTGGAGGTTAGTGGAGGTTAGTGGTGGTGTTAGAGTCCATGCAATTGGATGTGCTGTGCTAGAGTGGTCCACACGCTTGTATGTGTGTGGTGGGTGGGTGTGCCAGCATACAGTTGTGTCAACTCACCGCATGCGATGCTTCGCTCGTTTGCATCATGTCGCTGGTGGCAGGATGCATTGCACACGCGTCCGTTCACGCATCCGCAATGCATGTGGCTGCGTCACCTCACATCACCATCCACAACAGCAACAGCAACAGCAACAGCAGCTGGTGTCGATGTCACAGCAACCACGTCATCACCACCCGCATCGTCATCGTCGTTGTCATCATTGTCGTCGTACATGCACACGTTTGCCGTGGATGGGGCGCATGGCGGTGCGCAAACCATCACTGCATTGGTCGATTCTCTTCGCGATTTTGTGCAGTCGGAAGACGACGAGACGGAGGTGAGACGCAATACATGGGGGGACACGTACTTACACATATGTTGGGACGGGGGTACGGGGGTTGTACCCACCAGATGCATGTGTGTTATTGATACCATCAGTTGATTCTGAGACTACTGCATGCACCTACCACTCACTCACACGCACACACGCACACACACTCAATCATACACTCACTCACTCACTCACACACACACACACACACGCATGGCGTGCCCTCAGGTGGTGGTGCGGCTGTGGAGCTGTAGCGGTGGCAGGCTGACGACTGCTGTTGGAAGCAGAGGCTGGCACGCACTCGAGACGGCGACGACGGCACAGCCCACGCTGTCACACCCGATCACAACCCCTCTGCTTCCTGGGTGTTGTGGCAGTGGCGGTGATGATGAGAAACGGCAGCAAGCGTGTGCGCTGTGCTATGTTACAATCGCCTTCCCGGAGCCAACAACCGAAGCTCATGCAAGGTGCAGTGAGAAAACGCGCGAACACGCACGTGTGTGTTGGGGGGAGGGTTGGGGGTGTACGCGTTCAATAATTGAGTCTTCACATTGCCTTGTCAAATGATTTTGCTGTTGCTCGATGCAGGTCTGTTGCGCACGACGCGCTGATGCGTGCGGCGACAGCAACAACAACGGTGGTCGTCACGCAGGCACAACGGGATAAGGTACGCCGATGCCTTTGGGTGACGATGCTTGGGCTCTTCTACATGTCTCATGAATACACACACACACATGCACACACACATGCACACATGCACGCTCACAAGCACAATCACACACGCGCACATGCGCAGATTAATTTGGAGATGAGAGGAAGCGAGCTGCCGGAGGGATGGTACTTCACTGGCCACCAATATGTGTCCATGGAAGGGTCGCGCCAGGCGACACACCCTCTCCTGGAACAGGTGCACGCCAAAAGGAGGGGGAGCAATTGTGTGTGTGAGAGTGAGAGTGAGTGAGTGAGTGTGAGTGTGCGTGCGTGCGTGTGTGTTTGTGCGTGTGTGTGTGTGTGTGTGTGTGTGTGTGTGTGTGTGTGTGTGTGTGTGTGTGTGTGTGTGTGTGTGTGTGTGTGTGTGTGTGTGTGTGTGTGTGTGTGTGTGGGCGCGTTTGGTGCGTCGTGCGTATCGCTTTTTATGCGCTGCACCACACTGTTGTTGTGGCGATCTTGTCCGGTTCACTCACGCGAGCTACCATTGTCCTGTTGATGTCTCGGTCTTATACTGCTGCTGTTGCAACAGCGGGTTGAAGAGTGGCACACAGCACAGGAAAAGCAGCGACGCGCCCTCGCACAGCGCATGAACGTGAGAACAACATCATTGCTCGCGTGACTTGTGCGTAGTGTGTGTGTGTATGTGTGCAATGTGCGGATAGTGTTTGCAATATGCGATACGTGTGCGTACATGTTGTGACCTTCATCTCATCCCACTGTGTGTGCGTGACACGACTCGTGTGTCTGTCTACTACGTCCTCCTTCCCCAATACGCAAACGCACATACACAGTCTGTGTCGCTTGTGCCGGACAAGCTGCACGTTGGCATCAACCCTGGCCTGGGTACCGATGGTAAGCTCGGCGCACCAACACCTACGCAATCACACACGCCCTCATCAGCCCCACAACGGCAGTCAGCAGGGGAGGTGGATATGGGGCAGCGTGCGAGTAGCAAAACGTCCCCACGGCCGCCACCGACACCGCCACCAAGCAGCTCAGGTGTGTGTGTGTGTGTATGTGTGTGTATGTGAGTTTGCGTGTGTGTGTGTGTTTGTGAGTTTGCGTGTGTGTGTGTGTGTGTGTGTGTGTGTGTGTGTGTGTGTGTGTGTGTGTGTGTGTGTGTATCACGCACATTGGTGAGGGGCGTGGACCCTCGTGTGCTCAACAGTGTGACATGCTGCACGCCTTTATACACGTGTGTGTGTGTGTGTGTGTGTGTGTGTGTTGTGTGTGTGTGTGTGTGTGTGTGTGTGTATCAAGCACATTGGTGAGGGGCGTGAACCCTCGTGTGCTCAACACTGTGCCATGCTACACGCCTTTATACACATGTGTGCAGGAGGCCGTCGCCATGTGCTTCAGCCACGACCGCCAACAGCAAGGACGCAACGCAGCCGCAACAGTGATGGCGGTGGTGTTCGGCGACCGTCGTCGCGCAGCCGCTACATGCCCGCCCCTGCGCAGGATGCCACGGCGCCGCCACTTGCACCACCTAACGCTTCACTCTCACAGGAGACCACGCAGCAACAGCAGCAGCGACAACAGCCATCGCCACCACACAAGCGACCAACCAGCCGAGGCCAACAGGCTACACGAAGGAGACAGCTGCCTGCTGTCGTCCTCAAGCAACAACCTTAGTGGACCGAATGTGAGCGTAAAACTTCAGTAAATTTTCAGTATCCGTTACTGCCAGAGCTGTGCGTGTGAGGACCACAACAACAACAACAACACACACACACACACACACACACACACACACACACACACACACACACATCATGGGAGAGGTGGTAGAGCTGCTGAGTGGCGACCTCTTTGCCATGTTGGCAGGCATTGACGGAGAATGCTTTGTGCTGCGCAAGGACCGCTTTCGGGTGCGTGGGTTGTGCTACACTTGCGTTTGAGTGCTGATCTCGTGTGTGTTCTGATGCAACAGTGTCGGTTTGCTCAGTTTGATGTGCTCACGTGCGCGCGTGCGGATGCGTCAACGTGCAGGTGCGCCCCGGCTTGCAAGGCATTACCAGTGCAGAGCACGAGATTCTGGACAAGCTGTGCGTTCTTGGCACAACGTTCAGAACCCTGGAAGTCTTTGTGGATACCCAGCTCACAGAGAACGCAGGTATCAATCGACCTCATGTGTGCGTGTGCTTGAGGACGGGTGTAATGTTATTCCCACCACTAGTGCGCGCGCACACACACACACACTCACTCACTCACACTCACACTCACACTCACTCACTCACTCACACTCACTCACACTCACACTCACACTCACACACGCGCGCGCTCGCACGGACGCTCATCAGGGATTTACAGAACCGCAGTGGCAGATGCACTGGACACCGTGTTGGACACGTACCGAGAAGAAATCTTGCTGGCACAAGACAAGTTCAATGCCGGTCATGAAACAGCGCTGTCCAACCTTGTGTACCGCTTCAACCACGTGCGTAGCCCCGGGCATTCCCATGCAGGGTGAAGTGTTTGTCAGCTATTGAAGTGTACACCATTCGTTTGTCACAAGCCAATCATCTTCTCACATATGTGTCATACGTACATCTCCTTGTACTTTGTTTGCATTGGCAGTACTTTGTGTTGTTCCCATTGCTGGCCAACACAATGGAGGAAATCACACACAGACAGGTACCTTGAGCTGCAACGCAGATTCCTGGTTCTTGTTGTGATGTGCTTGTGTATGTATGCTTGCTTGTGCAGTTGTGCTTGTGCAGTCATGCTTGTGCATCTTCACACGCGCACACACACACACATGCACACGTACACACACATGCACACTCCCCCTCCAACCTCCCTTGATCTTGTCGCCACACACTCCCGGGGTGCACACTGCTCATCAATCCCACTTCCCTTCCCCATCCCCGCCAATCCCGCCAACACGACCAGCTATCCGGGTGCCGCCTGCTGTCATTCCTGCACGACCGACTCGACCAGCCACCAGACCTGCGCGGGCCCTTTGCCCTCCTCATGCGCGAGTGTCTGCGTGTGTTTCTGCAGCACGTTGCGGATTGGGTTGTGTATGGCACGCTCAGCGACCACAGGGGTGACTTCTTCGTTCAGCGCATCTCCGACGTGCGCACGTGCTGCGTGTGTGCATGTGTGTGTGTCTGTGTGTGTGTCTGTGCATGTGTTCTGTGTCTGTGTCTGTGTGTCTATGTGTCTGTGTGTGTCGCATGTACGCTAGACCATCACTGGCACGAGTTTACATCACCTTCTCCTTCTCTTTGCGTGTTCTGCTGTGTCGGTGTGCAGAGCCGACAGAAGCAGGGTGATGCCTATCGCGGCGTGTGGTGAGTTGCCTTTGTGCTGTCACCGATAGCGGTGGTGTCGGCAAATTCTTGCAATGTTGCATCTTACACATTACGAACTCGCTCACACACACACACACACGCACTCTCACACACGTATGCATACTCACTCACACACACGCACACACACACACGTATGCACACACACTCTCTCTCCCACGCAACAATCACGTTCAATCACACGACTATTGCGTGCAGGGACGACTATGATCTGAATGCAAAGCAGTTGCTGAGCTCCATCAGCAAGCGAACACACGTGCGGATGCTGGAGTTGGGCCTGTACACGCTACTCCTGCAGGGTGGCAGCCCAACATCGGGTGCACGTACGTTGCAGCGTGTTCGTGGTGGTGGTGGTGGTGGTGGCGGTGGTGGTGGTGGTGGTGGTTGAGACGGAGGAGAAAGGAGAGACGAAGTGTGGACAATTGGAAGTTGGCGGCGTCTGCACATGCACACACTTATCCTGTCGCACTCACATCGCACGCGTGTGTGCTTGTTTGCTTGTGTGTGTGTGTGTGTGTGTGTGTGTGTGTGTGTGTGTGTGTGTGTGTGTGTGTGTGTGTGTGTGTGTGTGTGTGTGTGTGTGTGTGTGCTGTGCAGAGGGCATCTCGGAGGATGAGCAGCGGGAGCTGGAGCAGACGATCCTGTCGCTGCTGAGCGATGTAAGTGATGCAACACGGCGCACCACTGAATATGCCCATGCACACATGTCAACTCAAACACACGCAAAGTCGTCGTCATCGTCTCACTGTTCCACTCACACATGTGCACGTGCAGTCTGGACTTGATGCTGTGCATCTCGATCAAACACTCGCACACATCCACGAACGCCTGTCAGAGGTGGGCCCATGTTGTGTGTGCGTGTGTGTGTGTGTGTGTACATGCCTCCATTCCTGCGTGCAAGCCTGTTGGTGCATGACGAATTTCGCGTTTACCCTGTGTTGTACTCTGTGTTGTTCGCGCCATTCATTGCACTTGCCCTGATGCGACGGTATGACTTCAGCACGTGTGGCGGTTGCTGATGCAACAAGCGGACCTCGTTGCCACACTGCAGGTGGAATGCAATGCAACCACAACTGTTGTTTGCTTGTTTGTTTCTTTGTGTGTGTGTGTGTGTGAGTGTGTGTGTGTGTGTTCTGGTCTGGACATCGAGTACTGTATTTTCGTTGCACAGCTCTGCCTCTCACCAAACACATGTGCATGCACATGCAAACACGCACGTACATATGCAGCTGGTGAAGGATATGTTCTTGTTGGGCAAAGGCGATTTCTTTGTTGCGTTTCTTGAAGAGGCAACAGACGCCCTCACAGGCCCCATTACTTCAAAATCGTCAGCGGAAGTCCAGTCCTGTTTCGAAAATGCATTTGTCGAGGTGCGTTTCATGCGATCGACACAGCACAAGAAGATGGGATGATTTGTTTGTTTGTTTGTTTGTTTGTTTGTTTGTTGTTTGTTTGTATGTTTGTTTGTTTGTATGTTTAGTGTGTCTGTGCGTGTGCTTGTTTGTTTGTTTGTTTGTTTGTTTGTTTGTTTGTTTGTTTGTTTGTTTGTTTGTTTGTTTGTTTGTTTGTTTGTTTGTTTGTTGGTTTGTTTGTTCGTTGATTTGCTTGCTTGTGTGTGTGTGTGTGTGCGTTTACGCGTTTGCAGCTCACCTGTGGTTGTTCCGTGTATCGTTCAGGTTGGCCTGGACAAGAGTCCACTCATGTCCATGTTCACCGTCGACGTCGATCAAGGTATCGCCACATCAAAGGGGCAGCCCCGCGCGTGGTTGTGTGTGTGTCTGTCTGTGTGTCTGTGTGTCTGTGTATCTTTGTGTCCGTGTGTGTACATGCACGCACATATGTTCCGCGCTCAGTGTCCATCTTCATACACACACCGATACACACACCGATCCACATACACTTATCCATACGCCCATGCACGCCCAGCCCGCAGCAGTGCACGCCTTGCTG